ATGCCAAGTAATGGTCAATAACACAGTTCGCAATACTTTGCTGGTGGTAAGGTGTGAGCGTTTTTTGATCTTCATAATACTCAAGGGAATCTTTTCCCCGAGGATAATGTTGCAATATATTTTGAATATCAACCTACATAATTAAGTTATATATAAAAAAGCTAAATGCATGCAGACACACTTACTCACCTCAAATGAATCGTGTGAAGTTGGTGTTGCACTTGAGGGCGAATAACAGGATGCGAGACTTTCGTTTTGCTTAATCCACTCACTGACTTTTTGGATCGCTGTCGTTACATCGTCACCTTCACCAAACTACAGTTTACAAATTGAGGGAAAAAATTATACATTTAGTTTTGGGAGTATTTAAAAATCGTATAACTCTTTTACCTCCTGTTTTTTCCACAATTTGATTTTTTTCACGCAATTTCGCTTTAGTGCCCACTACTTCCACTGAAGGGAAAATTTTGTTCAAGTCGCTTTCAGTAAGATATCGCAATTCTTCTATTCCCACGCTGGCATCTGTATATTTAAAAATTTATGTATATGTATGTGAGTTATTTAACAGGTGTACACTTATTGTCTGTCTAAACTTAAAATTATAACTTTTTGCCCGTATTTTTCGTTACAAAACTTGCGAAGTATTTTTTCAATTAATGCAAAGACAAGCATGAACAAAAAAATGAACGAAACTTCAAGAAGCTTGCCCTGTCGGAAATAACAACGTTGTCTCAGAAATTAATCAATTGACAAAGTAGTTGGAAACAAACTACTTTTAAAGCAAACATAGAAGTTTTTCGTCTTCCTCCACTTCCTTGCTTTCACATATAAATATATCAAAATCACTATTTCCGACGTTCATGTTATCAAATAATTTACATTTATTTACCCGCACACACTTTATAAGTCAATAAAATATATATTTCTTTGCAAATTAGAAGCGAAATTAATAATTTGAATATAATTACTCGCGGGTCCGCACACACTTATTAACACAATTCTTTGCAAATATAAATACGAATGACTGCGTCTCAGTTGCCAAACACACGCACGTATACAAAGCATTACCTAACGGGATTTAATGCTGTTGTTTAAGACAATTTAACAGAATATCTATTGATTTAACTGGACCAATTGGCATGTCAACTGCCATTTCTGT